CTACCCTAGAACATTGTGTTAGCATAACGGGACTAAAAAATGCTGAGCTCGGTTCACACTAGTGCCAAAATAGTGTTACAACTCACCATGTGAAACAAAAGTGAATGAATATTAAACAACATATAAGCCTCAAAAAAGCCCCTGTTAAGCCGCAAACCGGTTAATCCATCCCCGGATAATCAAGAGTTGAGTGTACCTCCAATCCATGTTCTTTGCTTAATGTCAAGAGACCAAGTTTCATACCCATACAAAACTATAAGCAAAATTATTGTTTTGTATATTTTAATTTTTATGTTTGTAGACAGCAGACAAGAAGACAAAAGGTTCTAAACTGAATGGTAGCAAGCATTACCCAAATTCAGCCTCCTCTTAACCTTTATGGGACAGCATTTAAACCCCCCAGTATGCTATCTGTTGACCTTTGTTTTTAAAGGCTCTTAAATATCCAAGATATAGTGGTTCAGGAAAGGAGTTGTAATTTACTATATTGATTAAATGTAAATACCACTTAAATACAGGATTGTGAAGAATTCATCTATTTACCTATATTCAAAATTTGAAATGACCAGTCTATATACTATATGCACATAGTTTATGTTCTGTAGAATAAGTTTCATCATTTTTTACATACTCACTTCAGTCTGATTTTATATTTAGTTCTGAAATATGCCACAAACTGTTGATGACAACTACTTGTTGAATGGTGGGTGTGTCGTTTTTGTTATGGTCGCCTACTGCTTTGACACAAGAACTACCAGAAAGATAACTGCAACCCTTCTATACAATGGTTTTGCTGTTCTAAGAAAAGAAGAAGTGGGTATACTGGAAGATAACATTCATTTGTGATACCCTGTTAAGTTTGCTCTGACAGGAAGCAAATAAGCAGCTCATTTTATTTTAATTCTCCAACATGCACTTTGAGTTTCTTGGCTCTTCTTTGATAGTATAAGAACGATGTTACATAGGAGTTTCAAGAGATGAACAAAGATGACATCAAACTCAGTGACTCAGAAGCAACCGAGGGAAACTCTTACAAAACAGACAAGGAAGAAGATGGCATGACAGAATAAGCTCCAGTTCTCCCCCGCTGATGAGTATACGAGCAAAATCTTTTGTAATGTGACCAGTTAGCAGGCAGCAAGTGGAGCCTGCTTCTCCAAAATGTTGGTTGACTTTCAGCAGACTGTGGTTGACTTTCAGTGGATTACAATTGACTTTCAACAGACTAAGGTTGGCTTTCAGTGGACTACACAGCATTATATCCCAGAAGATAAACATAAATACTGCTGTGAGAACCTCAAATTCTACTCTGTTCTCTGTATTCAAATTGGTATCCTCATCTCTATATGCCAACTCTGGATGGCTCTAATGAGCTAATAATAAATATTTCAATACATAAAATGCCTTTGTTTTCCTGATCTGCCACATCACCACAGTACTATTATTATCCTTAGTGGGGTGAGACTGAGTCAACTTGGTACTATGACCACTACTGGCCTAGGGTACCAGCCTCAGTTGATAGGTGATGGTTATTGTGGAGCAGTTGATTGAATGAAGATTGGCAGGGGAAACCGAAGTACTTGGAGAATAACCTGCCCCAGTTCTACTTTGTCCACTACAAATTCGACATGACCAAACCCAGACTGCCACGGTGGGAAGCCAGTGACTACTGACCTGAGCTGTGGTGCCGCCATCACAACAGTAATTGATTGCACAAAGTTGTATAAAGTTCTAACAAAATTGTTCATATTATTACAACTTGTATAGGAAAATCCTGTTTGTCTCCTTCAGTTCTGTATCTTTAAAATATTTTTTAAGTTGATGAACATGGAAGTTTACTTAAACCCCGAAGTTAAGTGACAGCTCTGATTGACCAAAATGGTTTATAGCAAAGTCATGGTGAGATGATTAAGGTACTGTGGAATATGCAAGGAAACAAAAGAATTTGACAGTCATACAAAAAAGAAACCTTCAGACACAGAATATGGGTTATCCTTTAAATACTTTTATCTGAATGTAGAAGCCAGCCAAGCCTACAAATGACAAATTATACAAGTCTTTCTACAATATAAATTTTAATAATCATTGCTATATCATAGGAAGATTAAAAATATGAGTAAGAACACAGAAGAGGTTTGAAAGAATCTTTTCAGGAGGATATTTCAGAATACCAGTAGGTATTTGTAAGTCATACATTTGTAAGTCATTCGTACATATGGTCATATAAAGTGTAACAGGCATAAAGGTATCTGATCTTAAAATTGGAACATTATGAAGTGTTATTTAAGTGATATAGGTTTTGGAATCTAATCATCACCAGGGGAATATTGAACGAAATAATTGCCAAAAATCTTAAGATGCTGAAATGTTAGTATTACAGAATGGAGTAGCTGGTTGTAGAAACTAATAATGTAATGGAAATTATATCAATAGAAGCTGAAATTTAGCTAATAAGTTATGCGGGGTGAAAGTGCTTTGAATATTTTTAGGTTCACTACAGTTCTTCAGTTCAGCTTAAGAAGAGAGAAGGAAATAACAGCTGGTAGTGGCTTCTGGTTCTTGTCATTGAAACAAAATAGATGAAGTAGTGGCTATGGAAACTGTTATGACTTATCAGGGGTGGAAAGGTGTGCATTCCTTGCATTGCCTACTTTAAAAGTAAATTCTGCTCTGGTGTTTGATAGTATATAGTAAAAAAGGAAGTAAGTAAAGGTATTTGTGTGACAGGCCATGGAGGCCCATAGGGTTTTGAGATGTTGAGGTTCCCACATTTTCTAGACAGTTGGCTCATAGATGGTAAGGTTGTCAGCCTTACGCGCCTGCCACCCTTTACCCCCAAGAATATTCCTGGTACTCATTTCTGTTAGAGGCTGAGTCGACCCCAGGGCCGTAGTGCGGCTGGAAAGATTAGGTAAATTGAAAAGAAATCCAATGACCTCATTAGGAGTCGAACCTGCAACCTTCCGGCTTGTAGCATACTGCCCCAACCAACAACGCTACCATGTGACCCGAGATAGTATATGAGTTACTGAAAATGAAGACTACCATTTTGTTTCTACCGTATGAAACACTGACACATTGGCAAATAAATAAAACATCCCAGTGACAGGGAGAGCATTTGAACACAGTATTACTATTATCTTTTGTTATTGTACCTACAAATACATGTTACTTCATATGTTTCACAGTGTCTGATCATTTCAAAATTAAGTGTATGATAAATCAGTTATCTTATTCAGTTCTGTGTTTTTATCTGAAACCTTGTTTTTTGTGTTAATTATTTAGCAAGATAAATGGGAAAGTTTTTCCAAGTTACAATTACAGTAGTTACAGCTACAATTTGGCATAAAAATATCATCCAGGTGTCTCCTTTAATGAGAATTTTCATGTAAAATGATATTAAAAATGTATATGGAGAGTGCTCTTAATAACTGGTCATTAATTGGCACACAAACCACATAATTATGGTGTTCTATATTTTTAACTGGCAATAAGAATGCTTAGAAAGTACTTTGAAAGAAGGCTGGTAGTAAAGTTAATAATAAAAGTTTAAATGTTATGACTTGAATCACGATTAATTAAACTTCCATCCCCTTCATTATTATGTTGCTAGTATGAAATGTTAACTATTCATTTTATTGGATAATGTTTAATATAGAAGTGTTACGCAGGGTGTCCAAGAAAGAACTCCTGAGTTGTGGCTATAAATATTTATTCACTGCTTTGACATAAAAATGTCTTATTAAAAATAAATAGTAAACAGTCTTGCCAAGTTTTATTGCCATTTATTGTGTTTCAACAAAATTGCACTTTCCCCCACACCTGGGATAGCACATCCACTGATACTGCAGCGATAGCTGCTGTAATCCTTCAGGGCAAATTGGAAAGAGACTACTCTTCCGCTATACAAAATGTATTTGGTGTACTCCCAGAAGAAGTCCATGGCTGTTAAATCAGGATTCCATGAAGGACAATTAATCGGCCTTCCACTGCTGATCCATTGACCAGGAAATGGTTCGTCCAGAGAACTGTGTGCAGTGGCACAAATTGGGCTGGTGCATCATCTTGTTTGAAAATGAGGCTGTCAACCTCAAGCTACTGTCTGGGAATGCGAAATTCTCTAGTATATCCAGGTAAACTGCACTTGTGATGGTGCTCTTGTGGAAGAAGAGGGGTCCAAGAATTCAGTCCGACATGCTATTGCGAACATGCCCCATTAGTCCAGTGGGTTCTCACTGTCGCAATCCCTGCAATTGTGGCAGTTTACAAGACCATGTGTGTGTAAAATGGCCTTGCTGGAGAATAGAATTTTCCGCAGGTAATTGTCGCTGCAGTGAGCTGTTTTAGCATGAATGTTAAATGTTTACCCTTTGGGACTTCTTGCTAGGCTGGATGTGTTGCACACACGTAGTTTCAGTCTCCTGTGCTCAACGTCATTCACCCTACTCTTCCACAGCATATACTGCACCTAAGTGGTGCCATGACTAAATGTCCCCCGATTTGATAAGAAGCCGACATGTTATCTGATGCTGCCATTTCTATAAAATTCATGTTGATAAAACTTGAACAGATTTTGTGCTGAATTTTTTAATGTACCAACTCTAATGAAGCCATTAATAAATATGAATAACTAAAACTCCGGAGTTCTTTCTTGGATGCCTTGTACTGTTATTAAGATTGGTTATGTTGAATCACAAAACTGTTACCATATTCATGCAGATTTGTGATACCATTTTAATGTAAAGTGCATATCCTGTACATATGTATGTTTGTGTGTGTGTGTCATTGCTTACCAAATGGGGACTGAAGGTTTCAAACCTCTTTCAATGGAAGCAGATGAGTGTACATTGATATCAATTTTATGTCATATAGATTTTGTGTTGAACATCCTCTAATAAGATGTTACATTTCTAATAATCAGTAAATTCTTTTTGCTCCCAGCCGTTGCAACAAACCAGTTGTTAACAATTGGAGACATGGTAGCAGTATCACTGTATGTTCGTGACATGCGTCATTATACTGCCATCAACTCAGAGTACCTGAAACTGTTCCGTGGGAACAATCCCCCTGTACGAATCTGTGTAGAGGCACCTCTGCCTCCTAGCACACCTGTTTTGCTGGAGGTTCTAGGCTATCGAACATCTTCCCAAGAAGGTGATGAACAGAGCAGTCAGAATCATAAGAGGCATACTATGCATGTCCAAGGGGTGTCTCATTGGGCCCCAGCAAACATAGGACCTTACAGTCAGGCAGTGAGGGTAAGTTTAATCTGATTAATAAAAATAGAATGTTTAATGGTGGGGTAAATGCATCTCACACTAGTGTATTATGGCTGATTCACTAAGATATTCAGTATTTAATGTGAGAGCTAATGTTTTTTATTTATTTATTCATTTTATATACTGTAAGACAAACAGAAGTAAAACCTTCAGTAGAAATCATAATGCTGTCATCATTCCCTGGCTCAATATTGATTTCTCCCGCTACTGAATGATAAAGAGGAGTGAGGATTACAAGTTGTAATAGAAATTGCCAAACTGAACTCATATTAATTTGCACTAAATATTTTGCTTTGCTATGTACTGCAGAATTATTTTACATGGTCCATCAAAAAAAACTGAAAGAATTATTTTCAAGTAATAGCTGCATTTGCATAGTTGCAGTTGGTGGAGCATGATAACCTTGAAGAACAGGTTTGGGAGATTAGTCGACAAGCAGACTTGACTTTAAAATGGGTCACTGGAGTGTAGAGCACCATGTGTCCTTTGCACAGAGTGGTTTACAGAAAGTAAATATGTTATGGTAATGCAGCACAATTTTCAAGGCATCTTAGAGTTTGTAATGTGCTATGTCACAACACAGTCATGGTGTGCATCACAGAATTCTGTACCACAGGATATAAAATCACAGCTCCACATATCACCATGTTTTCAGGGATATCACCAGTGTCCCTGAAAACATGGAGCAGTCTGTCTGACAGAAAAGCCTGGATTGCTGTTGACATCTTCATACTCATAGATAATTGTTCTACTCATCCAAGAGATAATGTTGCTTTAAAAATTAAGAAGTTCTTTCCAGCTAACTGTACAAGCTATCTGGAGGGCTGATTCAGAATTCTACATCAGTGAGAATATCTTCAATTCCACACACAACAGAAGCCTGACATTCAGTAAAGGCGTCCACTATTAAGAACTACCTTACCAAGGATATGTTTTTATTTGATGTCCCATTGATACAGTGCTGGATAAGATAGAAGATTGCCAGCAGTTACACTCCGATGTTAAGTTCACAGATAATATGATATTTAACAGTGCAATTCAGACAGTATAAAAATATTTATTTGAACAGCAGATACACCTAGAAGAGGGGGCAGAAGAAGAAGAAGTTGAATCTAAGTGCACATAAAATAATATAACAATTATAATAATAGTTTTGTGTGATACACCTTGTTTTCTGTTTGTCTTCCTTCTCCACACGTTTGTGCAGATCTGCATTATCTACTGGTTTCTCTGTACTTTCAAACATGATATACGGGACTATTATAAACGATTTGGGTGATTAGAAATTGGTTTGTTTTTGAAACAGGTACAAATGTAAACATAAAACAACATAAGAACAGCAAGAAAACCTGTTCAGTTTTTATTTGCAACATTGATTATAACCTCAACTGTCAATGGCACTCCTATTGCTGTCAAATGAAATTGGCATCTCTTAAGTGCAAAAAGCACCTGAGGCTCGGAGAGGATGAATAGAACCTTTTCTTGGCCCCATAGATCCACAGACCTTACTCCATGTGACTCCTTCCTATGGGGACATGTGAAAGACGAGGTATACAAACCTCCAATACCAGAGAACCTTCAAGAGCAAAGTTCACAGACGATATCCACCATTGATGAATCACAGTTGTGGCATACAAGGTTAGAATATACATATCGCCTTAATGTTTGCAGACTAATGCAGCAAGTGTCAAATATCTCTAGATAAACTTTTTATGAGTTCCCATGCCGTTTTCAAGTTGTTTCATGTTTATATCTAACCATTTTGAAAATACAAAAATTTCTCATCACTTATAATAAACCGTGTAGAGATCTTTCATGTAACATGCTAAATTTGCAGATTCAGAAGTTAACCCTGATTTTCTTTTAACTTTTTAAGGTGTCTGCAGTCTTACAGCACAGAGAATGGCATCAGCCCTCAGTTTAATACAGGACACAAGAGTAAAGAAGTATGCTTTTCTTGGCAATTATCGTTATTACTGCTTTGTACATGGGATGGAATTCTTTCAGGTGGGAGACATAATATATGTAGCTGGCCAAATTGCCTTGGTACCTGGGACGATGCAGTTGGTGGAGGGAGGAGTGAGGAAGCAGTGTCAGTTGGCCTTGCGCCATGTTGGAAGAATCATAAAGGCCATGGACCCTAATACCCAGCTCAGGGATGTTGTGCAGGTATGTTTTGCTGTCATTTTAAAGTACTTAAAAAGTGAATAATTTTTACTTTACTGTGTTGTAATATAATTCACACAGAAAAATATATTAAAAAAAAGTTTGAGTAAGTGGATTATTTTCAAATGTGGAGACACTTAAATCAAGGAAGAGCAAATCGTTGCATCTAGATAGCACTGTGTCTTGGTACAAAAATATCTTGAAGAGTGATTCCATCACAGCATTCTTCAGACAGTCAGCTTGGATAGCAGGAGCCATCAGTGTACTGATGGATTGGACTCGTGTAGCTAGTATGGATGTGGTAGTAAACTCTACTGGTCTGCTGGACACCACCTTTTGCAGCTGTTCATTGAGTCATCAAGTCCATAGAGTTTGATATTGTGAACTGTCAGTAGACTTCACCTGCATGACAGGTTCACAGTTGCTCAGGGTGATGCCTTTGGCTAACATCTGGTCTCTGTTTCTTACATTCATAACTGATGGGTACCTGTCATAAAGATGAAACAAACGTCCTGGCTGTATACAGTTCTTTTGGTGACATATCTTCAAACTGGTTTCCCCTAGGCAGTTTGCTGCCTCCAGGGGAGCTTCTAACAATGCAGTCACCACCCTGTCATGTTGAGCCGGTATCACCTCATGGCTGGCTAGTGTCAAGAGGGAGGATCTTGTTTGGGTCTGGGACACCATGACAACACATCTTCATTCAATCATACCGTGTGGCACTTCAAATGCACTGTTGTGTCATAGGCTCAAAGGGCATCCAATCCAAGAATAAATTTGTGTATGATCTTGTTGCTAGATACCCTGATAGTAGTACACTACCCTAGTTGGCTCACCAGCACTTGCTTCAAACTGAATAGTCTCCTCTCACTCTATCTTTAAAATGTATGGTCAACTTGCCTTCCTCTTGGGTAGTCGTGTGTTGATCACAGATGCCTTAGTGTCGGTTGTAACTTGCTACAGTGTCAATAGTCAAATGACATGGCTACCATTGACAAGTAAGCAGCCATAACTCGTCCTGGCTAATATACTGAGTGTGAAATGAGGGAGGACACTAATGTCTTCATTTTCATGTTGGCCCATACTTGTTTCTTGAATCCAGGTTGGCTTCCTATCAGGCAGCCCTTGTCATGACTCTGTTGACAGTCTCTTCTGAGGTGACTGACATTTCTGTACTTCCAGTGTATGGGTCATTCAGTCTTGAAGCGCTCAGTGACTGGTGACTGTGTCCTCGTTGGGGTTCAGGCCTTTATGTGCTGCTGATTCAGTGCTGGTCCAGCTTCTGCCTTTACAGAAGGGCCTCATTGAGGGATCTCTTGCTGCTCACGAGGACGTGATGTTTCACTTCCAAGCCCTTCATTTCATCAAAGAAAGCCTAGGCTCCCTCCATCTGGATGAAGTCCTCAGGTAATCCAACAAGGGCCCAGAGAGCGAACTGCTTGATGGCTGCTGCGAATTACTGTGGCAACTCACTGCCTAGCTGGGTCCAGGCTTTGACTTGTGACCAGTAAGCTGCTGTCTGCTGGTGATCTGATTAATGGCCCATTAACACAATATCCTTGAACATTACTCTTGACTGGGACACTGTACAGGTGGTCAACAGCTTACCTACACATTGTGGTAGGTAGATATATAATCTCCTGGGCATGCCAACTGGTGTGACCAGACGTGGTCTCAGACTGTCAGTTAAACACTGTCCAAGTTGTTGATCCATCAAATTTCCATGGCTTCACCTTGATGGCACTGGGCCCTGTGTTTCTACTGCCTCCACACCTGGTCTGAGCTCTTAGTGCTGCCATCTACATCTCAGACTTCCGATATGTGTCTTCCAGATCATGTTGAGTCATGTCACCTACAGCTCCCTACTGACCTTGTGAAAACCCTGTGCCTGCTGCTGAACCATTGCCATGATGTCCTTCAGCAGTCTCTGCATGTCTGTTGTTTTCTGGCATTCATTTTGAGCAACCCTTATGTCAGTTATATCGCTTTTCAATACTCTTTGGCAAGCTGTCAGGTGATTTTTGCTGGAGCCATTGTTTTATGAAGTTCATTTTGGCCAGTGCTTATGTCCTCTTTAAGTTCTTCCTGGATGGCATTTATGTTCTTTATGAACTCCTTTAACTGCTCCATACGTGCTTGCAGTGGAGGATCCGTGTTCAATCAGACTTCTGACACCATTTGTAATATATATTGTGTGTTGAAGTTATTAACAGTGTGTTTTAAGCCACTTAAGATCTTGATGTCAATTGGCCTAATCCTCCACTATTTCACTGTACACTAGCACACTTTAGTCTTCTTGCACTCACAAGCTTGTGTCTTGTCACACTGGTTCACCACACAAACACTGTACACTACCTCTGGCCCACAACAAGCCTCGACTCAATTCTGCTCTCTCTCTCTCTTATTGCCTTGCAACCAAGGTTAAATTTCTGACCTAGTCTGGTGCAAGCACTAGAGATGAAGCACACTTAGTTCTGGAAGTTATGAGAAGGGGGCAGGGGTCTGGAGGCTTTGAGAGGTGTGTGCATGCTGGTATGTGACCAGGCCTGCCCTCCCTCAATCCACGTGACAGTATTTTTTCAGTAAAAAAGTAATGATAAAATAACAGTTGGGGATGTAGATTTTATGAAAGGGTTGATAAGACAAGCCAAAACGTTTTTCTGATCATCTTTAGTTATTTGTGTGTAATTTTGACACTTTTTGAAACAAGAAACTGAGAACGTCTGAATGTAGAGAACTATAAATATTTCAAGACTTTTGCAACTTCAGGAGTGAGGTAATCAAACAAATAACCCCATAGAAGTGTATAATTCAAATACAGAATTAAAATTGTGATAATCTTTGGGGGCCTAAAAAGCATTTTAGACATGAAAGGTTGTTCTTGGAAAATTAAATAACTTTTGAAAACATCTTGACATAACATGACATTGTATTCCCATTCAGCCAGCTAAAATTACATTAATGGGAAACGGTATTTCCTTTCAGATGCCAAAGGATAATCATATAAGTCACCTTAACATTCATTGTGGGGAAATTTTATGTCTCACCAAAGCTGAAAAGTTCTTCCAAAATTTTGTTATGAGGCAGTGTTAAGATGTGTAAAAAGTGAACTGTGAAAAATGTTTTACACCTATTACTAAATCAGTATTTTTTGTTTTGTACATAATCTGAGAGAGCAAGTGCAAAATTGAGGGAAAGCACTGCCATCATTGCTTACAGTGAATATGAAGTAAACAGTTATTTACAGTGCACATAAATTTTTTCCTGCTGCTTTAGGAAATTATTGCTATTCCAGTTAAAATTAAGAAGTTAAAGAACAAAACTGACATTAATTTCTTACCAAATCTGTTTCTTCTGACTAAAATAATAAAATCAAAAACCTTCATAATTCATAAGAAGAACATGGAACTATACCAGCCACAGACAAGAAGTATTTTGCCTGCCTAACTGTCCTCACTTAACTGGTAGCCGGAGGAAAGTCTGGTTACATTCAGATTGTGGTCTTATGGGCTGTGATACTGTACAGTCTTGTAGGTGGATGCTAATGTTTTGGATGCTGCATGTTCCTTCAAATCACTGGTATTCGCCTAGAAGACTATATGATGTTTGAATCCAGAAAACCACAACCTGAACACTCACTGCTGAGGAAACCTCAGACTTTTTACCAGGTTACACTGTGTTTTGCAGTTAGCCTTCTTTGTGGTATTACTTGAAATTCTAGAAGCTGCATCATAATCTCACATAGTGTAAGACATGCTGGAACACAGTGGTGCAACATGACAGTAACAGGCACAGTCTGTGAGAAGTAGACTAGTTGCACATTTTTTCCTTTGTGGTACTGTTATACAGAAGCCTCACATTATTCTTGAACCTCAGCTGTTCAACAATCGTTAAACCATATGCAGGTGTTAGAGTAATTCTGGTATTAGATACGTGACCAATGCAGTGTAACAAATCATACATCTCAGCTACCTGTTATGTTGCCTTACTTGATCTTCCTGTACTTTACCTGATATTTTCACTTGCTGTTGATAATGTGAAGTTAGTTAAATTATTTTCAACCTGAAGTATATGAATATAAATTGATAAATTTTAATTTTTGTCTTATTAAGGGAGTCTGTTATGTAACTCATCCATCATATATCCCAGAAGCTTGTCGTGAATGGGAGAAAAGAACCAACAATGCAATTGTTGATTATGTAGTAGTTCCTCAACTACCTCGAGGAGCACTGTTGGAATGGCATATCTGGGCCCATCGACACAACAACAGGTTTGAGTGTAAGTAAAAAAGGAACATGTTCAGATCCAAGCATAATCCATGATTTGTTTACTTTAATAAACTGACTGCATAGAATGGAGTCCTTGATAAGTACATAATCTCTTGGTTGGTCAAGAAATTTTCTCCCTTTTATGGAACCTGTAGACTCATTATAAGAGCCAGTCACATGACTGTATCCCGAACAAGTTGAACCCACTCCACACACACCTTGTTTAATATCATACTTCAATTTACATGTGGGTCACCTGATGTGGTTCCTCCCCTTCATGTGTTCCAACTGAAAATATTGTATGAATTTTGTATCTCCCCAATGCTTAATATAATTCTTCTTTATTCCTTTACATTTTATTTTCTTGCTGCATGTAATTCTGTTTCCTGGAATAGCAATATTAATAGTGGCACTTTGTCCAGGAAATTTCTGATGGATGACTAACATAGCATGTGGGCAGAGTTGGGCTGAGCTAAAGAAAGTTGATTACCATTTTTAGGTTTTGAAGGAAAAATCACAAGGCCATTTATAGGTTTGTATAATAAACATGCTCTTATTTTTAAATCAAAGAATTCAACACAAACTCAGTAAAGGTGATAAGTAAAACTTTACTGTGCAATCTCTGTCAGTATGTCATACATCATATTGTAACGTTTTTCGCCACTGAAGACACCGTTCAGATTGTTAATTGGTTTATTTACCAACCTACAAATTGTAACTACAATTAATTATAACACAGTTGTGGGTTTACCCAATTTATAAACCCTACACAATAATCTATTCACTCTGTCTTCAGTAGTCTTCACGTATTTTATAATGCGGGAGTGATCCAAGTCTCTGTGAATTACACACTCCCAGTATAACTGTTCTATGGCAGACACAAAATCTTAAAGTCACACAATAAGTCTTCACAGGCTGACTTCTCAGTTATAGTGCACTATAAAATCTTCTAACCACGCATCCTGTTCTTTCCGCAACTGCTGCTATGTTTCAACTGACTTTGGCGGCTGCTACATTTTAACTGTCTTCCGCAGCTGGTACAGTTTAACTCGCTCCTTAGGCAGTGTAGTTCTCTTATAAACCCTCAGCCAGACAATGGAAAACGCCTCACTTCCCTGTTGCCAAGTCGCTGTGTTTACAGGTGTTGTCGCCTGTTACGTCTCAGTGGGAAGCGCTGCCACATCACCGCGGAGGAGGGGGCAGAGTGTTCACTGGCCTGTTACCGTAGTAGCGGCAGCACTGTTATGCCACCGCTGGCGGGGGAGGGAGCATCCTGCATGCCAACGCTGGCGGGGGAGGAAGCATCCTGCATGCCACCGCTGGCGGGGGAGGGGTCGTCCTGCATAGCTCAAATACGTCACACTATGTTAAGGGATAACACAATATTAATTTATGCATGTAAATTTACTTAAGCACAATGCCATGAAGACATCTTGGGGAGTAGACATAATAGAATTTGTCCTTACAACACACTTTTCTGTTTTTACGCTTTAAATATTCTCTGTCCCCAGGAATGAGTAGGAATTAAATGTTCTGCGCATTGAAGGTTTAAGAAACAGTGTATATGTGGGAGTTTACTGAAAAACAATGGGTGTTGTAGAATGTCCGTTCTTCTGTGAATACTTGAAAAGTCAGAAATGTAGTTCCATATGTAGAACTTAAATTCTATTTTGACATTATTGTAATGTATGCTGGAACAGGTAGGGTGTTTATAGTACAGAGATTGATCATCTATAAAAGTTCTTCAAAGAAATATACCTCAAAACACATAGGTCATTGGGCTTCTGCATAAGGAAGCAAGTTATTTTGTGGCCACCATTGCCATCACTGTTTCACAGAACATGGAGTATAAATAATAAGGCAGCATTTGCTGAAGGAACATGTGCCCCTCTAGATAAACACCAAATGAGAATTTTAATTCTAATTAGTAAAGGTTATAATAGCGTCATCTTACTAATACTGCTATTGCAACCTCAATTTTGTTTCAGATTTACAAATAATAAGTTAATATTGTGATACGAGAGCTCGAAGCCAGAACTGTGGAGCCAGGAGAGATAATGGTTGGTAGGCAAAGGCTCTGTAAACATGTTTTTGCGGCAACCGAATCACAGGGTCACCACAAATGTGACAGTAGAGGAACTGTTGAAAGCCTTGTTTTCTGTTGGGTGCGGCCTTGAAACGTTAATGCCATTCAGAACTGCTGTTCAGCTTAAAAATGGTCTCTCAAAGCCTCACAAAGCATTTCAAGGGTTTTGGTAGTGGATTTACCGAGCTTCATGCAAAACTTGATGCAGACACGTTGCTCAGTTATGCCATCCTTCACAGATAGATCAAACACGAGGTGTAAAAACACTGCGTGTTCACAGCATGGTGTCACGTGGCAGACTGATGCAATAGACTTGCAGAAGTGTGACCTTGGCCTCTCCTCTCATCTTCTTTCACTGAGGCAGTTACAGCAGTAACAGTCCTGGAACTTTCCAGTGCACCTCATAGAGTGCAAAAGGACAGAATTTCAATAACATGCTATATGTGTGGTACGCACATTTGATGAAAGGCCATTCATATTCATAAGAGACAAACCCATCTTCTCATCAGGGAGGATATGAGGATGTTACATGAGGACTATTACCACAAGGGACTGGTTGTGGGTCTCAAGGGGCCTGATGCCAAGATGAACTGATTGGTGGTAAACTGCCAGTTATAAAGTAACTCTGACTTTGACAGACCAATAGCTTTCAACCTTCTGTATGTATATGATTATACAAAAAACATATAACAAAATTGTGCTGGCAACAAGTAGAAGTTCTACAAAATCATGAGAATGAACATGTTTGCAGCATAGGACAAGGTGAGGCCAGACATAGAAGATATAAGAGGCTTAAACTTAGTGGTGGTCAGGCTTACAGCCATTCAACTAACTAAGCTGCCATTGTAGCATAAGATAAGATAGGACAGACAGACAGACATGAACTGCTTTGCAATGCCTGGACTGGCAGAGGACTTGTATAGTAGTGCACAAGGAAGACTTTTCAGTAACATGCTGTGTGTGTGTGTGATATGTACACTTGACAAAGGCAAAGCCTCTTCACATGAGACAAAACCATCCTCTCATCAGAGGACTTTAAGGACTATGACTGCAAGGGTATAGTTGCAAAAAGTAAAAAAGCTGGTCATGGGCCACAATGGGCTTGGCACCAAGACAAACTGATTGGCAGTAAACCATTGGCATAATTTAACTCTTGACTCTGATTGACAGATCAGTCCAAGTCTGAAGTTATTGTGACAGATGCCCCTGGTGGAGGTGTGGGAGGTGGTGTAAAGAGAGTGAATTCACTGTAGTGTTATAATTAACTGTAGTTACCATTCAAAACCTTGTGTATAGTCTCGTAACATCTGACAATATAATTGTTTGTATGTAATTTTATTACATCTGCATGAATTTTCAGCATTTCTGGTATCTTATGAATCTTTGTGTTTGTGTATTTTTTTCTTATTTCAGATGAAGAGACAGGATGCTGTATAAATGGCTTCCGGGTATCTATTCGTAGGCGTTGGAATTATGAGAACAATGTTTCTGCAGTAGTGTGTTATGTATCGACAGGTGAGAATATGTAGACTTTGAGGTTCTCACAGTGGTAGTTATCAAGAGTTTTATTTTCTAGGATATAATGCTGTATAATATTGTAACGTGTTTTGGCACTGAAGATGCTGTTCAGATTGTTAATTGGTTTATTTAACAACCTACAAGTCTCGGCTACAATTAATTATAACACTGTATTACACACTCCCAATTACACACGCGTCCGGTTCTTCTTTCCATGACTGCTGCTATACTCCAACTCGCTTTGTAGGCTGCTCCTTGAGAACTGTGTAGTTCCCTTATAAACCCTCAGCTGGACAACGGGAAACGCCTCGCTTCCGTGTTGCCTAGTCGCCGTGTTTGCCGATAGCCTAGCAACGCTGTTGGGAGTTGTTTATGGCTACGTAGCAACTGTGGCATCCTGTGTTACGTCACCATGGCGAGAGACGGGTTGTTGACTGGCTTTGCATAGCAGCCGCTGTTTACTTGCTTTGCATAGTGACCAGCGTGCTTGGACTCAGCTCACTTCGGCTCCACTTGGCACGTCATGGCTGGTGGGGAGGGAGGGGTGTCATCCATAGCTCAACATGTCAATATGTTGAAAGTAAATCTACAGTTCAGAGGAATAAATATATCTTCAGGGTTGAAGAGTAAGGCAAGCGAGAAGCCAGCATGATGCAGGCAGCAAGCAGAGCATGTGGCTTGTGAAAAAACATGGGATTGTGTAAAGACAGAAGGATGCCAGCCCATCAGTTTCCATTGGCTCTTTCAGCGAGCTGGATGAACCAGTAGGAGACAGGAGAAGAGTGACTAGGTTTGTCCCTTGAAAGGGCTCTTTGGCCCATATGGAAGCACGGGAAGGAAATGCCATAAGTGTGTGTGGCAGGTAGGGAACAGAGGAGGGGTGGGAGGAAAGTTGTGTGTATAATCAGCTATGATGGAGCACAGGATCAGCTTGGGGCATCACATTCAGCTCCATGACACCACAATCCTCTCCTCCAAACCCATATCATCAGGGTGTAATTGTGATGGAGCTCCATCCTAGTAATGTGAAGAGGGAGGATGGCTTGTGCCTCAGCAAGTTATGGAAACATCTCATCTCCTTCCTGAATAGGACTTTCCCTCACAGGATTCTCTAGTTTGGCTCTCCAGTGGTCCATTTAGGTTCATGCACATTGCCCTTATATGGACACCCATGAACTCTATGCCTTTTCTTCCTTCCTGACCTTCCTCTGCTGTTACTTGTCAACTACGCACATCTGCAACTGGCCCTTTCAAGTGACAAACCTACTTACTGGTTTCCTGTCTCCTAATTAATTCACCCTGATCTCTGAAAGAGCCAATGGAAACTAAGAGACTGGCTTCTGAGGTCCCTTCTGTTTCTGCATAGTCCCACATTTTTGCAAGACATGTGCTCTACTTGCTGCTTGCTTCACTCAGGTTTCTTGATTGGCTTGCCCTTCAAACCTGAAGATGGAGGCGCCATTTTTCTCCACAGTGCTGGCTGACTTTCAGTGGATTACCTGGCATTATAGCCCAAAAGATGGAATTCCTCATAACCACTGCTGTGAGAACTTCAAATCCTACATAATTTATTTTTCTTTAGAATTTCCTGTCTAAGAGTAGGATACATGTGTTATGTAGAGGTATAAATTATGCAGATAAGTATGGTATTGTTATATTGGCAACACGACAGTTGGTCTTTATTGAGCAATGTGAATACTGCAAGATTTGTGCAAAGTCTTTCTGTTATAATTAGGTGGACCAAAGAACTGTATGCCTTTAAATATATAGTGGGGTTACAAGAATGAACAGGGAAGGTATATATCCTTCAATTTGTTAGTTTTAGGACTTCTTTGCACAAGTTATGCACCCATGTAGTCAGACTAGAAAGAGCAACATATAAAGTGTGGCCCATGCTCAATATGGTAGCTGTTCATGTATTCTCTCTCACTGTCAACTAAATCATTCATTGTTTGGTACTCCAGTATGCTTTAAAGATGTTGACTCCACAATTTTATCTTCGAAGGTGATTTCTCTCTATTACTTTGTCATTTTCACAGATAACAATAGTCTAATTTTAGGTAAATATGTCCCAGCCAGTTGTGTCCTGCAGTCATTATATGAATACTTTCTAAGCAATTCTTAAAGATATTTTGTTTTTAAGTCCAATTTGTACGTGGTGCAATCCAAAAGTTCCCGAAATATATTAATAAAAACTACTACATCTTACCTAGATCTTATTCTGCACCATCACCTTCAAAGTAGTCCCCTAGGGAGTGCATACACCGATCCCAGCGTTTCTGCCACTTTTCAAATGCATCCTGGAAGTCTTTCTTTGTTAGGGTGTTTAGTACCGTCTGTGTTTCCACTTGAATTTCCTCAATTGTATCAAATCTTCGCCCCTTCAACTTGATTTTCATCTTGGGGAAGAGAGAGAAGTCGCATGGAGCTAAGTCTGGCAAGTACGGTGGGTGGGGAACAACTGCCATCTTGTTTTTAGCCAAAAATTCCTGTACAGTGTAAGCCATATGCGGTCGTGCGTTGTCATGGTGGAGTACCCAGTCGTTCGTGCGCCACTTCTCTGGACGTTTTCTCCTCATGTTCTCCCTCAAACACCTTAGAACATCGCAATAGAACTCTTTATTGACTGTCTGACCAGAAGGGACAAACTCCTTATGAACAATCCTGACAGTATCAAAAAAACAGATCAACATGGACTTAATGTTGCTCTTGACTTGTCGAGCTTTTTTTGGCCCAGGTGAAGAAGGGCTCTTCCATTGCGACGATTGCTGCTTGCTTTCAGGGTCGTAGCCATAAACCCGACTTTCGTCACCAGTGACAACCTTCGAAAGAAAGTTTGGATCCTCTTGAAGCTGTTGCTGAAGATCCCTGCAGACTTCCAAGCAATGCTGCTTCTGTTCATTTTGCAGCAGTCGTGGCACAAACTTCGCCACAAACCTCCTCACGTTCAGTTCCTCTGACAAAATTCATTGACATGTACCATAACTTAGTCCCAAGGTGTTACAGAGGTCTTGGATGGTCAGTCTACGATCTTGCAGAGTTAGATCCCTAACTTTCGTGACATTTTCTGGTGCTTTGCCTGTTGACAGCTGTCCCGAACGATCATCATCATCAGTCAATGTTCGGCCATTTTTAAAACGCTTATACCAGTTGTAAGTGTGTGTCTGGCCTAAACTGTTTTCACCAAAAGTTTGCTTCAACATTTGGTGCATTTCTGCAGCGGTTTTCCCAAGTTTGAAACAAAACTTTATACAGACACGCTGCTCTCTCAGGTCAGCCATCGCAAAACCGCAAACTCACGGAAACACAACAATGGAAATACGTTCACCAACAATAAACCCAACCACTCAACTCGACGCCTCTTGCCACACTGATTCAAGAAGGATGTGTGAGGAGACACCTAGCGGTATTTTGATGTACTCATAACCATTCACGCGCAAAATTCAAATTTCAGAAACTTTTGGATTGCCCCACGTATTACCATTCTTTGTGACTTGATTCAGTCATTTTGAAAATACGAATACAAATTTACAAAAATGCTTTGTTTTACATGTTTTTAACATACTAAACCTATTCTGAAATTATCTCCTTTGTAGAATATGATTTTGCACACCTCCAAATAAATGAGGTGTCAATTTTCAGCTTATTTTTCTTATTTTGAAAAAAAAAGAAAGTAGGCTTATGAGATGACCATGCCGGGTGTTTGCATGTGTCTGTGTATCCCCCCCACCCACATCAACTTTGAATACCTGAACTAATCTTTATGAAACTTGGTATGTATATCATCACATCTGAGCCAATTTCAAGGGTGTACTTCGTTAATTTCTCACATCAGTCTGTGTGTCTGTATGTGTATACCTTCTATCATTGTTAGGCAGAGGCTTGGTAAAGTGTATTCCTCCTTTCCTTGCTGGGGAACGGCTTGATAAACACATTCCCATAGCAAGGAATACAAGCAACAATGGAAGAACTGTTGGACACGTGTATGTGTGGGTCTGTGTATCCCCCTACCATTGCTAGGTATGAACTCGGAAAAGATGTTCCCACAGCAACAAAGTATTTTTGAAGGTATCATTTTCTATGCAGTCCATGTCATATTAAAGGAGAATGTGATTAGTTCTTCCCAGAACTTTTTGTTTAAAGTTAAGACCAAGATGCTGTAAATTGGTATGTAAATCAACAGTACATATAATACAAAGTTTTGCATTCATTGTCTCTGTATCTAAGGAAATATCTCCCTGAAATTTGGAAATAATGCTTATTCAAGTGCCAACATAAACCATTATGAGTAAAGTTGTCCCTTTGCTTAATTAATTAAGCATTATGCCATGAAGATGTGTAGGGGAGTGGATATATAAATCCACATTTTCTTGACCTTGGCACTAGCTGGAGGTGAGTGATCAGCTTCATGCCCTGGCCACTTTACCCCTAGGAAAGAGACCCCAATATCCATTGGACAAGAGGTTGGGTGGACCCCAGAGTCCGTCTAGATGACTTGGAGAAGAGAAAATTCTTGACCCTACCAGGACTCAGACTCCAAGCCTTCCGTTGTCCAGCCCGTAGCCACATAAACCATTATCCTGTTGCAAAACCTGTTGTTTATATAGCAGTATAAGAAAGGCAGAGGTTTTCGTATGAAATGCAGACCAGCAGTGTTTGACATAAAGTTAAATACAAATATAAAAGTGTGTGTGTGTGCAATTTGGATAATTTCAGTACCCTGCTGATTCCTGCCATCATTTCATCTTAATCGCTTTAGTGTACTTAAGTATCGCCCATAATAATAAGCTATTAACATATGTTTTGGTATCTGTTACATAGCTACCTCTAATTCAGGTACAGTCATGATAGAAGAAGGGAAAGAATACTTCTCACCCAACCAACTGAGTGATGAGAGCTTGTCAGAAGTTCTGTGTTACACTTTATCAAAACTTCTCCATGAAGCAGCACCTACAACTGTATGCAATTTGCGCATCTTCTGCAAGGTTGGGAAAGCACCTGCACCATGCCAGATACAGAGCGTTCTCAGCAAAGCAGTAGATTTCAACATAGTTCACAGCATTATACCAGTATGCCATCTTCATAATGCTCACACTTTCCTGTCAATATGTGGTGTTAGGCATAACTGAGGTGGTTCATACTGTGACTTGGAAGTTACTCTGGGATATTATTCAATTCAGTGACACTATCACATTAGAAGTTAATTCTTGATCAAGAGTGAATCATATTTTGTCTTATGTGCGCCCCTGTGGAAGACATGCATAATACCATTCTGCTCTGCATAGAATGCAGACTTTGCTTTATTCTTCTAGTTCTTTTATGAATGCACCTATTGTTGATATACATCTGTGCTTCTTTTGAAGATGTGTTTAAAATGTCCTAGCCATGAATTAGGTGGTGGTGAGTGAGGTTACCAGTACATTTTATGCTGTATTTAAGTACTTAGGAGCACATTTGGTGGTTGCATATTTCATGCAAGCAGGCCATTAGAGGTGGTGCCTACAGTTACTTTATTTTTTCACTGATATGATTCTTTGAAAGATCCTTGGCAGTTTTAATACTCTGTGAAAAGATATTTTGGCTTTATTGTATGTTCAGCTTATGGAGATGTGCATGTAAGTGGAACTAATGCTTAATTGTTATTTTCACCCCACTTCTTAGTGGGGCGCACTGAATAGACATATACATTTGTGGTAGTGAGAAAATTAAATGTTGTTTTCAAGGCTTTCATTGAAATGGCAGTTGAGAAAACTAATGGTGTGGCAGTTACTTCCAGACTGATGAATGCTAATGAAACACCAGCCTACTTTCTAATGTAGTAGCTTCCTGCTGGTTGAAATTGTGACCAAAACAGTTGAGAAATTTTTAGAAATTCATAAAATTCTTGACCTATGTCATGAAGTAACTGAAATATATGTGCGTGCATGCGTGTATGTGTGTGTGGTCACACAAGATGGGGGTAGAAACTGGAATGACAAAATCTGGATCTACATTGGGACCGTAAAGTTTCTACCCCATCATCTGTCATTTCCGAGCCTATATTAAACACATTATTTCAAGAGGCACCAAATGCTCAAAAGTTTTGAGTTTGAAACAAATCTTAATGTTATATACATATATATGTATGTGGATTGAATGAAGGTAACTCAAAAATTTTAGAGCTGTGTCTTAAATCTGCCTTGTATGTGAGATTCATTCTGATCAGTTGCAAGTTCCAGCACACGATCAAAGTCAGTTGTTGTGGAATACTTTACATGGAACGTCAGTGTATTGTTCCACATGACATAAGCAAAAGTTATTTTTCAAGATGGCTGTCACATGTTGTTCAATAGGTTTACTTTTATTTTGTCTTTATTATTTTTATTGTAGTATATTCAGCATGAGTGAGAGTCTTGTGACTGTGAAATGTCAGTCTGACATTCTTGGCACCATGTTTATGTATATATATGGACTATATCCATAGTTTCAATCACATAACTTATAATTTAAGTTGGTAATGACAAATTATTCATGGTGGAATAAATGTTATTTTTGCTTCTATTTGTCTATTTGAAGAGATCATGAAATTTTATGCTATACTTATTACAGCTCTTAGTACTGGTAATGATGTAGTCATATCTCTAGAATTTTACCATAATATGCATTATCAAATGAGGTCAGATTTATTTGATGATGTTTCACAACATCTGACATAATTTTATTCAGGCAGTCTGGCATTGCTGCTTCACTGTGTAATGTAAGATAAAAGTTGTGATTGATTTTTCAGAGAATCTTTTCATTAAATAAAAGTAGAAATTGGTACTTATATATTTAAATTTACAAGTATTCAGAATACAAACGTAGTTCATAGGTATAAATATTGGTTCTGCAAACAGCCATCCAGTATAAGTGACTTGGTTATGTTATCCTATAAAAGCAACTATTTCCATAGTAATACTTTATGTTTTGGGCCTTCTGGTACAAGGGTAAATTGCTTGCCTTCCATGATTTAAGACAGCCAGATCGAGACTGAATTATCCTGCATTCATTTCCATTCCCTCACCTATAACAGTGTTAAAAGAATGGTACTACTGATCCCCTGCTATGGTTCAGCTACAGGTACCCTATTGCAACCATCATCACACTTTCACTGTAATGTTATCACTGGGTGTAAAATGCAAATCCTGCCCTTATGGTGTCCCCACAAAAAAAGAAAATGTTAATTCCTACCTTTACCCTAACCAGGCAGAGCGAGATCATGCTTACAGACCATCCTTTGAAGTGTATGCCACAATTATTCTTGTCAACACCATAGTTAGAGACTGGAACTGTTATAGACTAATAGACTATAGGAATGTCCACAGTAAAACTTCCCATCTTCCTCATAACCTTATTTAGGATGCCAAAATCCCATGATATATTCAAATTGAGAAGCCTTTATCATATTGTAATCAGGGTAGCAGCATACGAAGCTCAGACTGATCTCACACAATGTTAAAACTGCCAGAAAATCCATCATGTCTGGACTAACTGCAAGGACTCCCCCAATTGCATATAGTGTGGGTGCGGTGACCTGCACAAGGAGTGCCCGGTAAAGGACAATACAGCATCAATACCGATATGCAGTCACTATAAGTTGATGTATGGAGAGGAACCTCATCCCTCCAACTACTGAGGCTGCAGTCATGCAAGAGAAGATGAGAAAGAGAAAATTGCAGAGCGCGCTCAAGTCTGCCATGGGAGGGATGTGCTCTTCGAGCCACACTACCCCAGACACAGCAACACACATCAACAGCACCAACCTCATCCGCCCTCCATTTGCACAGCCCTTCCCCACCACAGTGGGAGAAATGAGTGGTATTTCAGCAGATCATGACAGAGCTCAGTGGTGCCAGATCAGAGGAAGACATAATTGTGGCCATCACAAAAGGTGTATTAAAACTATGCAAGAAGAAAGATTGACAAATGACTTTGTAGAATGCAAACAAATGAAATTGTAAATATAGATGACATGTACTGCTGACTATGACTACGACAAGTGCCAGACCTGTCCTCTCATCAGAGAGGGCATCCCACATAGAAAGAACTGCAACTGTCTCACAGTAACAAAAATCTGGTCTTTGGCCCCAGAAGGGGCTTGACACCGAGACTGACTTGCCGACTTACCATCCATTGTAATGTGACTTTGACTTTCAAGCCATTGAGTTCAGACAGGCAAGAGTTGTGAGATGGTAGACACGAAGTAAGCATGGAAGCTGGAGAATTTCCATTGTTAGGAGCTGTTACCAAGCAATGACCAGTGGAGACATAGAAGACGTTATGTGTGATGTAGTTACTGTAAACTTTGGAGCATGCAAATCAGTGAGGCTGTTATAGTTCCTTCTAGTTAGGAGTTATGACCATTCAGTAAATCCAATTATCAGCCCTAACTCTGTGTCTACTTACTAACACGTGAGAATATTAAGGTGAATCTTAGAGAAATATGATGGGGTAATATGGATTGGACTTATGTGGCTTAGGATCAGGATCAGAGAAGCGTTCTTGTTAACAAGGTGAAGAACAGTTGGATTTCATAAAATGCTGAGAAATTCTTCAGTAACTGAGTGACTGGCAGCTTGTAGGTCGTGCCATAGCTCAGGCTATTGGTCACCAACTTCCCACTGCAGCAGCCCAGGTTCAATCCCAGGTCAGGTCATGTGGGATTTCTGGCGGACAAAGTGAAGCCGGGTACTTTGGTTTTCCTTTCCAATTCTCATTCCACCAACTGCACCACACTCATCATCATCATTATCATCATCCGGGGCTGGTAAAATAGGCCAAAGGGATTTTGAATGCCATGTGCAAATCGTGGACCGGTGTGCGCCTTGGAAAATTGCCAGTGGTGCGGAGAACCTTGTTTTGTAGGAGCTGCAATTTCACTAGATGGGTATCTGCCACAAACTCCCAGGCAGGACTAGCATAAGTCATTACAGATCTAATAAGAGCTTTATGGAGGGTCAGTTTAATGTTAGCGCTCAATCGCTCATTTTTGAATAGGGAATATACTCTAATGAATGTTCTGAAGGCCTTGGCTTCGATCATTTCTATATGTAATCTCCATGTCACTCTTATCGATGATTACACCTAGATATTTTGCGCTATTTACAAATGGAACACTTCTTCCATTTAGAGTAAGACAAGATTCAGGCGGTCGACGACCATGAGAGAAGTAGACCCCCTGAGTGTTTATCTTCATTAATTTTTATATTCCAGCGCTCACACCAGGTCTCCATTGAGCTGAGACCGTGCTGCAGTTTTCTAATAATAAAACCCTCCTTGCGATCTGTCACATACAGACAGGTGTCATCCGCAAAGAGGGCCAAGTGAACGCCTTGTGTTTGGGGGGCATCATTTATATACAAATTGTAAAGCGTAGGGGAAAGGACAGAACCTTGTGGCACCCCTGCTAGCATTTCCCTTGGCGTTGATATTTCGCCTTCAACTGAGACTCTGAATGTACCCTGAGAAAGGACCCAATAAGCTTGGTCAAACAGTTAGAAAATTCCAATTTTGATAACTTATACAGCAAACCTGAGTGCCACGTGGTATCAAGGGCTCTTTTGATGTCCAAGAACACTGCAGCCATAGACGTTTTATTGTTGAAATTAAGGGTCACGTGGTCCAAACACATATAAGCTCTATCTATCCTGGTTCCATGCTTATACATGTTTGGAACAATTTGTAATGTATATTTTTCTTATTAGCTCTCATGGACTTAGCCTGGTCTCAGGTGTTTATAACCTTTGTGTTTTGTGACATCGGTTGTCCAGTGATTGAGGCTAGCTCTTTCTAAGGGACCCAACAGAATAGGTGTTTCCCTCACCTGAGGACAGAAACAGATCCAGTTTCCAAAATGTCGTGGTTTTCTTAGTTAACTTAAAATCAGGAGGATGGATAAAGTCAAAAAACCCAATATCTCTGTGTAAAAGAAATGTTGGTTGTTCAGGATCATAGGAAAGGGTACTCGCAAAGTTCCAACTGACCTCACCAGTCCAAAGCCATCAGAGGTGAGGTCATATCATGAACTTCTCATGGCTTTGGAACAGCACTGTGAACCAAAATGAAATATTAATATCCAGAGATGAGTGTTCAAGCTATGTAATTTGAAGTCACAAGACTGCACTATGCATGCTTCAGAGCTAAGACATCATGCCTCTTTTTGTGACCTTGGCACTTATCTTGATTTGGCATTCAAGACTCTTATTTATAAAGTATATAATTTCTGACTCCAACTGGGAAAAGTCTGAGGGTCTTCCATAGACTACTGAAATTTTAATCAAAATACAAAAATAAATAAGCCAGCTTTAAAATATTACCTTTTACTTCACTCCTTCTACAGTGCTGGCCATTTCATACGATAGTAGACTCTTTTTAATTATCTGCATGTCATCATCTCTTTTGTTGATTAATGAGGGGACTTCTACAACACCTTAGTTACTGATTACAACTTCCTCTGATGATTTCAGTACTGCCCATTACATCTGTTTCAGTAATACAGCAGTATGCAATAGGCTATGCATCACCTCACTCTTTTCAAAATTTATATTTTCTCATGTTATTGCTTTTTGTATCAGCCTGCCATACTAATGAACAAAGGTTGCTTTCTGCTATTCAGAATTTATGTTTCACCTGTTTACTGACTAGCAGTCAAGCAAAAATTTTTCAAGGTTAAAAGCAACATGAACAGTAGGTATCTCCAGATTTTTGGATTATCCATTGTTTCAGTTATCTGCTCTACTTCTCCACTCCATTATCACAGCAACTGAGAAGTCGTTATATTTCAGTCACTTTTCAACTTACTGAATAACCAGACCTTTTATCATCTGTTCCCTTTTGTCCTGAAATTGCTTAACTCACATAATAAGCTATTTGTTCTTGTCTGTATAAATTTGCTACAAAATTATGTAGTCATGTGATCCAAACTTGTGTCATATCATCAGTGATGTCAATTGCACATACGAATATGTCTGGAAAATTGTCAGTCCTCACAGGCTTCCAAAGTGTTTCTGGACTCCAAATTAAATAGCTCAAAGTCAAGTTATCTCTTTGTGCCACCATGTCCCCCAACTCTGAACATGCAATGTCAATTCTTGGCTATGTGACTTCATTATCTCATGACTAAATGTATGGAGTGTTGAATGTGATCATGCCCCAGCATCATATTCCCAACAATCTGTAATGGTGACACTGTCTCTTACATTACTATCAATTATAATAATAAAATAATACTTAAAATGTGTGCAGCCAATCATGAACTTATTTAATGCCAATTTCAAGAATTCTGCATTTATAATTATAATATTACACCATGTGACATGTTACAAATGCTAGATTTTCACATATTACAAGATAAAAATTATATTTGTATTTCTCTGTATATCCAGCTTTCTTTGGAGTCAAGTTAATACACAAATACTAGGAGAATTAATAGTGAAGCCCACAGTTTGAAAATCAAGGCATTTAGCATTATACTGTTGTATACCCATATTCACTAACAGTTTCTCTGCATTTGTCTTCAAGATGTATGGCATACTTCTAATGACATAAATTTACTCACTTGACAGACTTTGGTAACACTTCAGTTCTTACAAGACAACTCATTATTCAGTTCCTTCACTGAGATACTCAAACTCTGAAACAATTTAGGCTGGACAATGAAGGCTTTGTATAGGTGGGACGGTCGATTTTGGCCAGTGGATCTCTGATGCGTAGTGGTCTGATGCAAGTCGGCAAGCCTAAGATTGGTGAGCATGCGCAGTGACACTGTGTTGCCTCAGTAAGAAGGTAGA